CCCTAACCATGGATTTGCGGCATGTAAAAAACCAGCCGTCTGGTCAGGCCCTGAGCAACGCTTGGGATCTCATCTGCAGGTATATATATGTGAAATCTGGAATGGGTGAAGAGAATGAGCGGTGATCCCCAATGTCTCTGGCACAGGCTCATGAGGATGGCCTCAGGCCAGCTGCTCTCTGACCTCCCAGCTGCAAGGTGGGGACACAAATACAGGCCTGCACTGCAGCGGTGTTGTCGGGGTCACACAAAGATCATGGACCCAGTTCAGAATGGGAACAAGCTTAAACCCACCCTCTTCTGGTGCCACGATCCCAATCCAATCAGGGCCCTGCTCACCTGATCACTGAGCTTAAAAAAAAAAAAAAAAACACTGGGAGCTGCCACGCCCAGGGCTTGCTGGTTTGGGGCACCTCGTGCAGCTTTTAAGTTTTTGAACAAGTAAAAATAGTAAAGTGGATTGGGCGACTGTAGCCACAAGTTTCCTGAACCCCCTGCCCTGGCACTCCTGACATCTCAGAACATAAAATGCAATGCCTTGCCCTGCTTTTCAAAAATGTAGGCACCAATGTTCCCTCTAAGCTGTGGAGTCTGGTGAGCAAAAATTCTACTTTGTGAGCTACTGCGAGCGATTTCACTACTGCATAAATCAGTTTGCTCTGGAGCCATCCTTCCTGAGCTGAGACCAAAATGTGTGAGCCGGAGGCTAAAAAACTGTGAGCTAGTTCACACTAACTCAGCTTAGAGGGAACACTGGTAGGCACCCCCCATAAAAACAAACAAACAAACAAACAAAAGTTGGTCCTTTTCAAAACTGGCTTGTTAACCCCGGCCTCCTTTCCTTTCCGTCTTAAGTTACACCTTCCACAGTCTGAAGCACTGCGTGAGCGCCGGAGAGCCCATGAACCCTGAAGTAATGGAGGACTGGAAAAGAGAAACCGGCTTAGATATCTACGAAGGCTACGGGCAGACAGAAACGGTAGGCAGAGTGCATTAGAAGCCAAAAGAACAGGCTGTGTCTGTGGGAAGACTCTTACAACTGTCGTTCATCTTCACTGATTCAGACTTGGTGCTGAGAGGAGACTGTTTCCCACCTCCCTCTTTCCCAAGGAGACCCCCGGGGCCTCGGGAACGCAGGGATCGAGCCCTCTGAACAAAATGCCACTGTGGGGAATTAGTTAAAATGGGCCCTCTTTGCTCCACCTCTGAGTTTTAAGAGGTTCCCTTGGCAGAAAGAGAAGCAAGGATGATTTCATTCAGTCCTCCTTCCTTGCAGTATTTTGTTCAGAAGGTGAACCCTCCATCAGCTTTTTGGGAATGTTAGAGGCCTTCTGGGTGGGGGGGGGAGGAGAGAGAGAGAGAGAGAGAGAGCATGGTGAAGGCCTTCTTGTGGTTCTGTAGACCTCTGCCTGTTGTGGTGCTCACATTTACCTCTCTCCCTTTATCATTATGAAACAGGTGTTGGTCTGTGGAACTTTCAAGGGGATGAAAATTAAGCCCGGCTCTATGGGGAAGCCCTCTCCTGCATACGAC